GGGGGGGAGAAGAACAAAATCTTCAAAGTGAATCCAAAACACAACATAAAAAACAATCTTTGTGCTGACAACTCATAACCCACATCTCTGTCACAGCATTACAATATCCTCTTGGTTAGGGAGACTGTAGGCAGTGAAGTTTAATGGAAGGAGCACTGTACCAAAAGTCAGGAAACTGGGTTCTTGTCCAAGCTCAATCACTTATTTAATCCCCATGTGAACTTGGTCAAATTACTACCTCTCCATGGGCCTCAGCTTTCAAATTTTAATAAATAAAATTATTAAATTAGGTAATCTCTGGAATTCAATGTGGGATTCAATTTTTAAAAGCTATATATCACTACTGTCAGTCCTCTTTTGTTTAAAGAACATTTGTATATTTAAATTTATAGAAAGGACCTTAAAGATATACCATAAATTGTTTACACAGATTTCTAGAGAAACTGGGGGTGAGACACATTCATTTTTCATTTCACATACTTTTAACACAACAACAAATGATTGTTGTTTGAAATAAACATGCACTAAAAAAAAAAATCTGTTGAGACAAAGAAAGACATTATAATGATAATCTATTCACAGAAACTCGCAACAATTATAAGCATATACGGACCTAACAACAAACAAAAAATCAAACATACTGTCAATGAGTCCAGCCTAACTCACAGCGACCCACTAAGGGTTTCTGAGGTTGTAAATTTTTACATGAAAAGGCCTCATCTTTCTCCAATAAACAGCTGGTGGATTTGAACAGCTGACCTTGTGGTCAGTGCTTACCCTTCAGCACCACCAGTGCTGTTTAACCTAACAACAGAGTCACAAAATACATAAGCAAAAGCTGATAGAATTAAAAGGAAAAAAGGCAAGCTATTAGTAGTTCAACAGACACTTCAATATAGTTAATGAACAAAGCACAAACAAGCAAATAGAAGACTTGCAAAAAAACTACAAACAATCTTGACTTAAAAGACATCTAGAGTACAGTGGTACAGTGAATTACTTAATATATCTCTTCTGGCCACAGTCACTGTAAACTCTCACCAAGCAACTTTTTCCTGATGGGTTTGGGTTAACAGAAAGTGAGGGAAGATGCTGATGGATTATATGATTCAGTTTTGAGTGGTAACAGGGTTGTGAAAACCTGGAATTTTAACGCATGTATAAAATGAGCCACATCAGAAGCAGGAGGAGGGTTCTCACTACCAACAAGAAGGAACCAGGCAGGAATGGAGCAAGTCTTTTGGACTTGTGTTCCCTGTACACTGGACTCCTCTACTTAAGGACAGAATGCAGTGACACCAGAGGAGTGACAGAGCAGCAGCAGCAGTAGAACCAAGATTTAGCTCACCAGAAGAGTGGGGGAGCTTTCCAATCCACAGAGCAAGAAAAGCCAAGTAGTGCCCTTGGGCAGGAGAATTACTTGTGGAGTCGGGTGCTTGCAGACACTTAACAGGAGAGCTAGTGCCACAGAACTATAGAGCCTTCAGGCTTTAGCACAGAAGAGTGCTTAAAAGAGAGTTGTAACACTACCAACCAGGGCAGAGGCCAGGGTCAAGGGGTCAGAGACACAGATGAGGAGAGGCTGTCCTGATTGAAAGAACTGTGCACTTTCTGACAACTGTGCACTGTAGCCTGTAAACTTCCCTAGTAAACCTCATAACTGTGAGTATGGTGTCTGAGTTCTGTGTGGCCATGGAAATGAATTATCTAACTCAGCTATAGAGTTTGCTTTGGGAAGGATGGCTAATATCATTTTTCACAACAGAACCTTTTTTCTGCCAAGGACCATTTGGATATTTTTAACATCAATCATGGGCCATACAAAATTATCAACTTAAAAATTAGCCTGCTATATTTGGTCAAATGTTTAATTAATTCACCCCTAATGCTCAGTCCTGGAGTGGCGCTGTGGGTTAATGCACCAGACTTCAAAACCGTTTGAACTGTAAGGTGTAGGCGGTTCAAGCTCACCAGCTGCTCCTCGGAAACACTATAATAAAGGGTCACTATGTGTCGGAATCGACTCGATGGCACTTCTCAACAACAACAACAATGCTCAGTTGGTAAAGCATGAGACTCTTAATCTAAGGAGGAGTCCTGATGTGGCACTTTGGGCTAATGCGTCAGACTGCTAAGTCAGTTTGAACTGCAAGATCGGTGGTTCAAACTCATCAGCTGCTCCTTGTAAACCTTATACAGGGTCGCTATGGGTCGAAATCAACTGACAGCACTTAACAACAATGCTAATTAGGCTGCAACTGTGATTCCCTTGGCAAGTCCTACCCAGATGATTTAACAGGGCGAGGACTGGATGATCCCTTCCCATTTTATATGAACACACAACCCAATAGCAGATTACATATTTACTCAAGTGACATGATTCATTCTCCAGTATAGATCATGTTAGGCCATAAAACAATCCTCAATAAATTTTAAAGAACTGAAATCATAACAAAGTATGTAGTTAAAAGGGTTAATTTCAGAGTATGTATTTTATCAGTTTTTTTTAATTAGCCAAATAAATTCTAAGTTAATATAAAAATATTCTTTAAAAACACTCACACG